AGATCTTTTGGCTAGGTGTGGTGGCTCACACCTATAATCCCAGCATTGCGGGAGGCTGAGACAGGTGGATGAGCCCAGGAATTGGAGACCAGCCTGGGCAACATGGCGAAACCCCAGCTCTACAAAAAAAAAAACAAAACAAAACCAAAAAAAGTTTTAAAAAGAAAAAAGAAAGTAGGTCTTCTCCTCGTTAGTACAATGGTGAGTTGACAAGCAGATAAAAAAAAAGTAAAATTTTTAAAAGTGTATCCCCAGAAATATGAAGAAAGCATGAAAACCTTAAAACAAAAAGCCTCCCCCCAACAACCCTTCCATGTCCACCTTTGAACCCGCTCAGTCACCTTGTCTGACCTCTCCTGAGGACCTAGGCTGAGAGGGATCTGTTTCTTGTGGCCTCCTTCCCTGACTGGCTCTGACTATCCTCCTTGTTAAGTAGGTTTCTAATTGGGCCAGGCATGGGGGGTATACTTTTCCTTCTATTCAGCTTTCTCTCCTTTTCTCACTCTTCGCTTTTCTTACATAGCAAAACTTGATCATTGATTATATGAATGGGCAACAGCCTTACTTACACCCTCAGCAGAATGTTTCTGATAACATAAGTATTCTTTCAGAAGTTTATTTTAGATACCTTTATAAATCCCAGTACCTCTTACTGGAGACAGTGGGTCCACCTTCTGACTCCTATAAACACACCAGTTGAAAATGTCACCTAGGGATGCCATGAGGACGTCTGCATCCAAGCTCAGCCATCTTGGCCTCCCTTTTTTTTTTTTTTTTTTTTTTTTTGTGAGACAGAGTCTTGCTCTTTCACCCAGGCTGGAGTGCAGTGGCGCGATCTCAGCTCACTGCAACCTCTGCCTCCCGGGTTCAAGCAGTTCTCCTGCCTCAGCCTTTTTATTTATTTATTTATTTTTGAGACGGAGTCTTGCTCTGTTGCCCAGGCTGGAGTGCAGTGGCGCAATCTCAGCTCACTGCAACCTCTGCCTCCCAGGTTCAAGCGATTCTCCTGCCTCAGCCTCCTAAGTAACTGGGATTACAGGCTCACACCACTGTGCCCAGCTAATTTTTTGTATTTTTAGTAGAGACGGGGTTTCACCGTGTTGGCCAGGCTGGTCTTGATCTCCTAACCTCAGGTGATCCACCCGCCTTGGCCTCCCAAAGTGCTGGGATTACAGTCGTGAGCCACCATGCCCTGCCTCTTGTTCTTTACTCAAAGGGTTGTGAGCATTGTAACCTGGGCCAATTTGAGTTTCTTTCCAGTGAATTGGATGGACTGTAAGATCCAATGGGACTTTATTTATTTGTTTTTATTTAATTTTATTTATTTATTTATTTTTGAGACGGAGTCTTGCTCTGTTGCCCAGGCTGGAGTGCAGTGGCGCAATCTCAGCTCACTGCAACCTCTGCCTCCCAGGTTCAAGCGATTCTCCTGCCTCAGCCTCCTAAGTAACTGGGATTACAGGCTCACACCACTGTGCCCAGCTAATTTTTGTATTTTTAGTGGAGACAGGGTTTCACCATCTTGGTCAGGCTGGTCTCAAACTCGTGACCTCAGGTGATCTACCCACCTCGGCCTCCGGAAGTGCTGGGATTACAGGCGTGAGCCACCGTGCCTAGCGCTAAGGGACTTTAGATTTTTAGAAGGATCTATATTGTTGACAGCTATATTGTTGAAATGTACATTGTTGAAAGCTAATTCACTGCTTTATTTTTTCCCTCTGGTAAAGCTGTTGCCCTTCAATGGGGATACTGTTAAAAAGAACAGCAACCCAATAACTATAATTAGAAATGAAAGTGATTATTAGTGCTCCTGACTGTTAAATAGTCTCAGCTGCCAGCATTTGTTAAATTAGGGTTTGTTTTTTTTTTTTTCTGGAATATTCTCCTGTAGTATAGACAAGAAAATGATATTAATCATTAGTCTTTTAGGTATTTTTCTGTCCAGCTAGCTGCTGGAATTGTGATTTTTACCATTCTCTTTTCACTCTTCATCAGATAAAATTAATTACTGAGCTGAGTCTAATTGTGCATTTTGGGTATTTTCATGACCTTCTAGTAGTTGACACTTCTACTGATGTCTCTGTTAAGAATGTTGCCAGTATCCCTTTAAGGTAATTTGGGTTGATCACAGGGACCTAGTCAATGACACTTGCAGCTCAGATCTCTAATTGCCAGGCACTTGATTAGTTTTGCCTTCTGCTTTCCTCCCTACCTAGTCTGCTCGTCTGATGGTTCACACCGTGGCCACCTTTAATTCCATCAAGGTAAGAAGCAGCGACCAGCTCCCCTAATCTCACCTGGTTTTCTCCACTATCTTCCTTCCCTGTCTACAGTAGAGCTCTTGTTCTTGTCAACCGGGTGAACTGTGACATATCTCACTCTCCTGGGTCCAAGCATGTCCTAAGTAAACATCAGCATGCTCATGGTCGCTGGGTAGCTTGGTGGCTTTCCTGTCAAGAGCCTGCCAGGGAAGGCAGCAAGCCTTCCCTCTGATTTCCAGTAGGTCAGGGAGCTAGAAGGAGCACAGTCTCAGGAAAGCAGTGAGTGGCTCCCTTGCCGCCTGCAGTGCGAGGTCCTGTAGCATACTGGCTCTTCCCAGGCCTGCTGTGGCCTGTGAGGCTGCTGGTCGGGTGTTGGGAGGCAGCGAGCGCTGGGATTTCTCCATGCAGCTGTGACTTAGGAAGCAGTTGCTAACTGCCAGGCCCCAGGCTAGGAGATGAGAGTAAGGAAGAGTCAGCTATGTCTCCTGCTGCCTCAGAGGGGATGCCTAGGTCAGGTGTTTGTGGGTGTTGAAGCTGTCAGGCACAGCTAGTTTTGGCTTGCCTCTGACTGGAATGTTGTATACTAATTTATTCAGCGAGGAAGGTTGGAAACAGGAAATTATATGTGCCCTAGCATCTCCTTCAAGCAAAGTCATTTTCCCAAAGTCTGACTGGGAGCATGACGAGAGGCGGTGCAATGGAGCTGATGTTTTGCTGTCCTGCAGGAGCTGAATGAGCGCTGGCGGTCCCTACAGCAGCTAGCCGAGGAACGGAGCCAGCTCTTGGGCAGTGCCCATGAAGTACAGAGGTTCCACAGGTGAGGGGTCAACCCTGGGCTGGGAGAGGGAGAAACAGGTGACTGCTAGTTCCTGACAGCCCCCAAGCTTGCTGAGTGAGATCCTATAGGAACGGCTGGCTCTTGTTGATGTTTACATCTGACACAGGATGGATGCTCAGTAAATCCTGCTAAGTGAATTATTTTGCTTTTTAGAGTTATTGGTGGTAGCCACAGACAAATATACAAATGTCAGCTAAATAAATTTTCTTAGGCCAGGCCTGGTGGCTCATGCCTGTAATCCCAGCACTTTGGGAGGCCAAGGCAGGCAGTTCACCTGAGGTCAGGAGTTTGAGACCAGCCTGACCAACATGGGGAAAACCCACCTCTACTAAAAATAAAAAAATAACTGGGCGTGGTGGCGAGTGCCTGTAATCCTAGCTACTTGGTAGGCTGAGGCAGGAGAATCGCTTGAACCCGGTGAGGGTGGAGGTTGCAGTGAGCCAAGATTGTGCATTGTGCTCCAGCCTAGGTGACAAGAACGAAACTCTGTCTCAATAAATAAATAAATAAAATTTTTTAGTGTCTGTCCTGCAATCAAGGCAATTGTACTCAGCATTTCTTAACGTAAATGTGTCTCCCCTTTAGAGATGCTGATGAAACCAAAGAATGGATTGAAGAGAAGAATCAAGCTCTAAACACAGACAATTATGGACATGATCTCGCCAGTGTGCAGGCCCTGCAACGCAAGCATGAGGGCTTTGAGAGGGACCTTGCAGCTCTCGGTGACAAGGTGAGAGGACCCAAAGTCATCTTCTGGCTTTTTTGCCCCAGAAAGAGAAGTCTTCTGTTCTGCAGAGCACACCCCCTTACTGCAAGCTCATTCACCACTTTGTTCCCATAGGTAAACTCCCTTGGTGAAACAGCAGAGCGCCTGATCCAGTCCCATCCCGAGTCAGCAGAGGACCTCCAGGAAAAGTGCACAGAGTTAAACCAGGCCTGGAGCAGCCTGGGGAAACGTGCAGATCAGCGCAAGGCGAAGTTGGGCGACTCCCACGACCTGCAGCGCTTTCTTAGCGATTTCCGGTACGGAGCCATGTTCACTCAGACCTCTGGAACATAGAGCCTTCTTTGCAGGGGTCATTTTTATTGTGAAAGTGGCACATGCTCATCTGGGTACAATGGCTCACACCTATAATCCCAGCACTTTGGGAGGCCGAGGCAAGCGGATCGCTTGAACTCAGGAGTCGGAGACCAGCCTGGGATACATGGCAAAACACTTTGGCTATTGTAAAATTTTAAATTTTAATTTAAGAATTAAAAACCTCCGGGCACAGTGGCTCACGCCTGTAATCCCAGCACTTTGGGGAGACCAAGGCGGGCGGATCACCTGAGGTCAAGAGTTCAAGACCAGCCTAGCCAACATGGCAAAACCATGTTTCTACTAAAAGTACAAAAATTACCTGGGCATGGTGGCAGACACCTGTAATCCCAGCTACTCAGGAGGCTGAGGCAGGAGAATCACTTGAATCTGAGAGGCGGAGGTTGCAATGAGCCGAGATCGTGCCACTGCATTCCAGCCCGGGTGACAAGAGTGAGACTCAATCTCAAAAAAAAAAGAAAAAATTAAAAACAGAAAAAAGTAGTACGTAATCAATGTAAAATAGTCAAACTACTGAATTTCAGATTGTTAAAAATAATTCTCCACAGCCAGGCATGGTGGCTCACGTCTGTAATCTCAGCACTTTGGGAAGCCAAGGCAGGTGGATCACGAGGTCAGGAGTTCAAGACCAGCCTGGCCAACATGGTGAAACCCCATCCGTACTAAAAATACAAACATTAGCCAGGCATGGTGGCACGCACCTGTAATTCCAGCTACTCGGGAGGCTGAGGCAGGAGAATCACTTGAACCTGGGAGGCGGAGGTTGCAGTGAGCTGAGACCATACCACTGCACTCTAGCCTGGGCGATGGAGCAAGACTGCCACAAAAAAAAAAAACAAGTCTCTGCTTTCCTATCCAAGTACAGGCGTACTCCCTCTCATCCCCTTGCCGTATGACATTATATTTTTCCCTAGATATATATATATGTGTGTCTCTTGTTGCCCAGGCTGGAGTGCGATGACACAATCTTGGCTCATTGCAACCTCCGCCTCCCGGATTCAAGCGATTATCCTGCCTCAGCCTCCCGAGTAGCTGGGATCACAGGCATGCACCACCAAGCCCGGCTAATTTTGTATTTTTTTTCAGTAGAGATGGGGTTTCTCCATGTTGTCCAGGCTGGTCTTGAACTCCTGACCTCAGGTGATCCACCCACCTCAGCCTCCCAAAGTGCTGGGATTATAGGCGTGAGCCACCATGTCCGGCCTTTTTTTTTTTTTTCTGGCTCTGTTGCCCAGGCTGGAGTGCAGTGGCCCAATCATTGCTCACCGCACCCTCAACTTCCCAGGCTCAAGTGATCCTTCTGCATCAGCTTCCCATGTAGCTGGTACCATAGGCATGTACCACCACACCTGGCTAGTTTTTAAATTTTTAGTAGAGACTAGGTCTCACTGTGTTGCCCAGGCTGGTCTCAAATTCCTGGGCTCAAATGATCCTCTCGCCTCAGCCTCCCAAAGTGCTGAGATTTCAAGCATGAGCCACTTCACCTGGCCTATGTCTTACCTGGCATTAATGTCATTAGGACACTAGGCCAGTTGTCTTAAAATGTCCCGCAATCTTGTACCTCTGCCTTTTTAATGACTACACAGCAATCCACTGGATGGGCGATTTATGACTTGTTCAACAGTAGCCATTGAGGACAGACACTTATTTTGTCTTTTTTTGTGCTCTTTAACAATATTATTTTACACACACGCTTGCACACTTGTGGTGCTTGTATCTGTTAGCTGGGGGCATCTCCCCTGCTGCAGTGGGAGTAGGCAGATGCTGCTTTCTTTCGCAGGCCTCTGGGAGGAGGTCCCAGTTGGCAGTTAGTTTTCTTTTTCTTTTTATTGAGGTAAGGGCCACACAACATATAATTAACCACTTTAAAATGTGCAATCCATGACATTTAATGGATTCACAGTGTTGTGCAGCCACTCCTCTCTAGCTTTGAAACATTTTCATTGCCCTAGAATAACATCCCTTAACTAATCACCCCCTCTTCTCTCTTCCCCACCCACTCGGAATCCTTTATCTGCTTTCTGTGTCCATGGATTTGCCTCTTTTGGACATATCATGTAAAAGGAATCATACCATATCTGACCTTACACACTCAGTTTTGTGCCCTTGTGCTTGCACAGCTGTGAGAAACTGGATCAAATGCATGCACAGGCCTAGGGCTTCAAGGGTTAATCCTAAAGAAAGGCTTTTTCTTTTTTTTAGAGACAAGATTTCACCACATTGCCCAAGCTGGTCTGGCAAGTGATCCTCCTGCCTCAGCCTCCCAAAGTGCTAGGATTACGGGCGTGAGCCACCATGCCCGGCCAACAAAGGCTTTTTCATTTGAAGCTATCAAAGACTTAATTGTAGCTAGAACTTGTTATTCTGGAGGGTGAAAAGATCTTAATTATAAACTTACTGACTTTTCCTCCAAGAAATTCGGACTTTTAAAAAAATAACTCAACAATGGCCGGGCACAGTGGCTCATGCCTGTAATCCCAGCACGTTGGGCGGCCGAGGCGGGTGGATCACAAGGTCAGGAGATCGAGACCATTCTGGCTAACACGGTGAAACCCCGTCTTTACTAAAAATACAAAAACATTAGCCAGGCACGGTGGCAGATGCCTGTAGTCCCAGCTACTCGGGAGGCTGAGGCAGGAGAGTGGCGTGAACCCGGGAGGCGGAGGCGGAGCTTGCAGTGAGCCAAGATTGCACTACTGCACTCCAGCCTGGGCGACAGAGCAAGACTCCGTCTCAAAAAAAAAAAACACCTCAAGAAGAACAAGAAGTTTTGAAACACTTTGCCCAAAGACCTAGCCTCATTCAGTAGATTAAATTAATCCAAGATAACTTTCTGAGGCAAGAATTATGTCATTCCCTGTTTTCCTGGGCAGAAGATCTCCTTACCAGGTAATATAATAGCTATTTTTCTGGGGTTCTGGTTTCCAGGGACCTCATGTCTTGGATCAATGGAATACGGGGGTTGGTGTCCTCAGACGAGCTAGCCAAGGATGTCACTGGAGCTGAGGCGTTGCTGGAGCGACACCAGGTGGGTGGACCTGCCTGCTGAGTAGCAAAGACGTGACTGCTCTGCAGGGCCCTGGAGGCCTCATTCCCTCCTTTTGTGGTGAGTCGATAGTTGACATCAGAGTGGGCATCTGCTGCCAGTTACCTAATCCCTTCCCTCCTTTTGGCAGGAACACCGGACAGAAATCGATGCCAGGGCTGGCACTTTCCAGGCATTTGAGCAGTTTGGACAGCAGCTGTTGGCTCATGGACACTATGCCAGCCCTGAGATCAAGCAGAAACTTGATATTCTTGACCAGGAGCGTGCAGACCTGGAGAAGGCCTGGGTTCAGCGCAGGATGATGCTGGATCAGTGCCTTGAATTGCAGGTATGTGTGCTCCTGCTTTCTGACCAAGCGTTTCCTTGCTGAAGAGCCTCATTTTCTCACCTGCCTCTTGCCCTCTCTAAAGCTGTTCCATCGGGACTGCGAGCAAGCTGAGAACTGGATGGCTGCCCGGGAGGCTTTCTTGAATACCGAAGACAAAGGAGACTCACTGGACAGCGTAGAGGCTCTGATCAAAAAACATGAAGACTTTGACAAAGCAATTAATGTCCAGGTGAGGCCTCTGGACCATGGAGTCAGAGTCTGGATTTTTCCTCATTGACATCTGTTTCTTGGCTTATAGAGTCACTGTTATATCTCCAAGGAATACCTGCATTGTCTAAGAAAAATGTGTACATAAATAATCTTTAAAACTTACAGATTCTGATATTTCTGAGATTTTAATAATGGGGATGCCACAGGAAAAAAAAATTTTATTATCAAAGGGAGGAAAAACAAATGTGTAGGTAGGTAAAGGAATACATGAACAAACAACAAGGAAGATGTAAGACTCTTTGATTTATAAGTCACTTTGCTGTAAATCTGATAGCATTTTCCTATTATTAAGCTTAATTTTGTTCTGTTCCGATATTCTAACACCTGCTCCACCTGAGTGACCTGGAGACTTCTTGAGTTAAATTATACTCTAGTAATGACTGAAATCAAGCTTGCTTTTGGCGTTTTACACTCTTGCTTCTAAAGTGTCAGTGTATTCTGATCCTGCCACCAGCTAGTTCTCAGTCACCCAAAATAACTGTCCTTTTCTCAAGACCGGCAATCCAGGCAGGGCCCAGCTGCAGGCCCACCTTGACCTCACACCTTTGTTTTCTGACAGGAAGAGAAGATTGCTGCTCTGCAGGCCTTTGCCGACCAGCTCATCGCTGCCGGCCATTATGCCAAGGGAGACATTTCTAGCCGGCGCAATGAGGTCTTGGACAGGTGGGTGTCCTGTGGCACTGACATAGTCATCAGCCCTGAGAGGATACATCCCCTCATATGAAGGCCCAGTCCTGTTCTATCTCCCCACTTCCTTCTCCACGGTAAGATATGTTCCTGTTGGATCTCATGGTTTCACTCTTTCAGGTGGCGACGTCTGAAAGCCCAGATGATTGAGAAAAGGTCAAAGCTAGGAGAATCTCAAACCCTCCAACAGTTCAGCCGGGATGTGGATGAGATTGAGGCTTGGATCAGTGAAAAATTGCAGACAGCGAGTGATGAGTCATACAAGGATCCCACCAACATCCAGGTAAGCTGAAGTGACTGGGTGTTGGTCTTGATGTAGCCTTATGTTATTGAGTAGATTTTGTTAAAGCATTTATAAAACAAACTCCTTATACCCATGGGAAGTCAGTGAAAAATGTTTTGGTAAGTCAAGCCAGTGGGAAAGCCCTACTTACGTTTCAGAGCCATTTAAAATTCGCCTTCCTCATTTGTCTCCATTAAAACCATTTCTGCTGTAGTCTATAGAATCCCCTTTCTATTACTTTAATATATTCTATTAAAGTCTATAGAATCCCCTTTCTATTACTGTTCCCAAATGCTGAGCTTCCCCGGGGAAGTATGACAAAATGAGTTTCTATTTAATAGCTGATATGTGTGTCCACATCAGTGTACTGAACTCTTATTCTTTTAATCTATTTTTGTAGCTTTCCAAGCTGCTGGTAAGTTTTTAATTTTTTTAAGAGTTGTAGTTAAATGAGCTCCAGTATTTGTGTTCCTCTGCATAGATTATTGTTATTGTGGTCACACAGTCTGCTGGTGTCTCTTCATCCTTTTCATTTCTTATCATCCATTACACTCCATTCAAGTGTCCCTGTGGGATGTGGCTTTCTCTGTTGTAATTAGCCTGCAACGCCTTACTCCCCCCTCTTTCCCCCAGTTTATCACTTAGGCAAATTCTGTACAGTGTTTGATTTGCGGGGCAGTAGTTGACCACTTTCTTTCAAGGAGTGCTTCCTTTTGAAGATGGAATATCAGCTTCAGCTTTTTCTGTGTAGACCTTGGCTGAGACTTGCTATGAGCTCATGGTGTTCAGTGGCCCAGGCGAGGGAGGCCAGTCTGGTGTGAGGGTTTTAATGCATAGCCACTCAGGCATCCAGAGGTGCCAGTCAGGACAGGAACAGCTAGAGAACTGTAGAGAGACGTATGATCTATTAATACTTACAAATCTTCAAGGAATACAAATGAGAAGTTAAGATAAAAGCAGACATTACTCAACAGGTAGTGAAAGGAGACTTCTCAGTTAACATGTAGCTCAAAGTTGCTTAAGCGGGTGGAAAAAATGAAGATAGAGAAGAGAATAAATGGAATTTGAACCAAAGAGTGATCAGAACAAGGAACAGAAGAAGAAAGGAATGGGACTTTTGTCAGGATATCTGAGTGTTTGAGACCCTTTTTGTTCTTGCCTTTGGGATCAGGCAGTGAGAGAACGTAACAAGGACATTTCACGTTAGTGTTGAATTGAGCCAGATGGCTCCATCCTTTGACAGTTGCTGCCTCTGAAATGAAACATTTGATGCAGAATTCCCCAACACTACTGCCTTGTAGTTGTTTTTTTTCCCCCAAATAACACTCTCCCCTGAGACCCTGCATTTCTCACCCAGCCAATTGTTTTTCCCAGAATTGTGGCACAGCTGCTATGTCCTTGTAATTGTCTCTTGTAGCATTTCAGTACCTTCTGTTTCTTTATGGATTCATAAAAACCATTATCAGGCACCCAGGATCAGGAGCCCATCCTTCTCGTAGCCGTTTCGTTTCCCAGAAAATAAATTCCTTCTTGCAGTCAAGCCTGGGTTCTGACAGTATCCCAGTGTTTTGATTAATGACAGCTACCAAAAGATAAATCAACAAAGCCAGTGTCTGTAGTAGCTGTAGATTTCTCCTCTGTCAACAGAGGGATAAGACTGACCATCAAATATTATTTTGCTAGTTAATACAATTTATGTTATGAATTTTGCTTAATGGTGATTTCTGCTTTAGATGATGAAACGTCCATATGTATCTCATTCATTAGAGCCTGTCTCCAAAAAGGAGAAAGCCATGGATGGAAATTGATGTACAAGCAGATTCAAAACTGAAGTTGGCCATTGCCATCTTCTGGAAAGTGCTTTTAGAAAGTGTTTAATTCTAGGGCTTCACTCCCAAATAACTAGCATAGCTACTTCAGGAATTGATTTTTTGGCCGAGCTTGGTGGCTCATGCTTGTAATGCCAGAACTGTGGGAGGCCAGTGCGGCTCAATTGCTTGAGCTCAGGAAACCCCATCTCTACAAAAAATAGAAAAATTAGCCAGGTGTGGTGGCATGCACCCATGAGGCTGAGGTAGGAGGATTGCTTGAGCTCAAGAGGTTGAAGCTGCAGTGAGCTGAGACTGCGCCATTGCACTCCAGCCTGGGCAACTGAGCAAGACCCTGTCTCGAAAATAAGGACTTCCAACTCATCTACTCCTGAGCTAGTACATTTCCTTTCTCCTTTGTTAACTCCCCAAGAGATGAACCCTAAAATATTTCATACAAATTCCAGTTGCCTTCTGTAAAAAACGTTGGCATTTACCCCAGTTATTTATGTTTGCTGCCACTCCCTCCCACTGAGAACCCCTTCCCTCCTAAAAAGACATAACCTAGCAGGAACTGGTTTGGAAAAAAAAAAATTTGGTATTTTTAGAGCAAGCACCAGAAGCACCAGGCTTTTGAAGCAGAGCTGCATGCCAATGCTGACCGGATCCGTGGGGTTATCGACATGGGCAACTCCCTCATTGAACGTGGAGCCTGCGCCGGCAGTGAGGATGCTGTCAAGGTATGGCCCACCAGCTCCCGGTGCCCGGGGAAGAACATGAGCAGCGTCACTATCAACCTGATACAATAACTTAGATATACAGTCTTAAGAAATTAAATGGATTAGAAGACTTTAGGCTGAATTACAGTTGGGGAATGCTAGTGAGAATGGCTCCTATGAGTGTTTTCCACCCTCCTCTCTTAGAAGTTCTCAAATTGAGCTTTAGGAGAGGGAGGATTCTTCATAGATTTCATCTTCTTTTTGGCTCCCTTCTGTTCCCCAGGCCCGCCTGGCTGCCTTAGCTGACCAGTGGCAGTTCTTGGTGCAGAAGTCAGCTGAAAAGAGCCAGAAACTGAAAGAAGCCAACAAGCAGCAGAACTTCAACACAGGGATCAAGGACTTTGACTTCTGGCTGTCTGAGGTAACACTGAGTGGTTTCTCTTCCCACCAGTGGGGAATTTCTAGTCATTTGGGACAGTGGGTTCATCAGTGAGCCCAAAACCATGAAAAGGCAGGGCTCACCAGACACCCCTTTTGACAGAAACCTTTATTACATATGAGTTGCTGTAGTGCTGTAAGGGATTGATGTGCAAAGGGAGTGAATATTTAGAGAAGAGAGCTGACTTGGAGTGGCACTTGGACTGCAGATCACTCATGTCCATAGGGAAGGCAAATAGAAAGAGATTATGGATAGTTACACAGCGTGCAACTCTTAACAAGCCTATGCCAGGATAGAAACCAAGATAGTAGCATCTAGCAAACCAGAGTCAGTCATGTATTCTCCTTGGAGAATGTTTGGAAAGCATAGACTATAAAAATATCATAGAGGTTTTAGTCAGGTGCGGTGGCTCACGCCTGTAATCCCAGCACTTCGGGAGGCCGAGGCAGGCGGATCACTTGAGGTCAGGAGTTCGAGACCAGCCTGACCAACATAGTGAAACCTTGTCTCTGCTAAAAATACAAAAATTAGCCGGGCATGGTGGCGTGCTCCTGTAATCCCAGCTACTCAGGAGGCTGAGCAGGAGAATCGCTTGAACCCAGGAGGTAAAGTTTGCAGTGAGCCGAGATCACACCATTGCACTCCAGCCTAGGCGACAGAGCAAGACTTCATCTCAAAAAAAAAAAAAGTTTTTTTGAATAATTGTGTAAGTTTATCATAGAGCCATGCCATAATTTATTCCCATATTGTTGGACATTCAGGTGTTCCCAGCCTTTTGGTGTATATATTTAGCTGCAGTGAATACCTTTGAATATTAATCTTTGCCCACACTGCTGATTCTTTCCTAGGGGAGTTTCCTTGAACTAGGATTGCTGTGCATTTTGCCTTTAGCTGTAGTATTTACTCTGAATAGACTCTGGAGTCTAGGTTTGACTGACTGAGTGGAGACAGTGTCTCAGGCCGGACAGGCTGATCAAAGTGACTAGGAATCACAGTAACACATTGTGATGGAGAAGTATTCAGCTGTCCAAACAAGGACCTGGAATAACCACTGGGCATCCTGAATTTTCCAGAATGCTGAGTATACACCACACAGTAGCGTTTCCTTTTTATGTTTTCACTGCCAGGTGGAGGCCCTGCTGGCATCCGAAGATTATGGCAAAGACCTGGCTTCTGTGAATAACCTGCTGAAAAAGCATCAACTGCTGGAAGCAGATATATCTGCCCATGAGGTAAGCAAAGGGAGGCAGGCCAGGCCCAAGTGCCTGGGACGCGGCTGTGCCTGACTCCTAAGGAAAACTAGCATGTTTGAGAAAAGAGAGTGACTTCTTTCACTTAAAGCCACCATTCTCAAAGGTTGTGGCCTCAGGATCATTATACACTTGACAGTTATTGAGGCTCTTAAGAGATTTTTATTATGTAGGTTTTATCTGTCAGTATTCACCATTATTAAAAGTTAAATAAATTTTAAGGCCTGGCGCGGTGGCTTACGGCTGTAATCCCAGCAGTTTGGGAGGCCCAGACATGCGGATCACCGGAGGTGAGGAGTTCGAGACCACCCCGGCCAACGTGGTGAAACCCCGTCTCTACTAAAAATACAAAAATTAGCCAGGCGTGGTGGCGGGTGCCTGTAATCCCAGGTACTCGGGCAGCTGAGGCAGGATAATCGCTTGAGCCCAGGAGGCAGAGGTTGCAGTGAGCCACGGCACTCCAGCCTCAGCAGCAGAGTAATACTCCATCTCTAAAAAAATAAATAAATAAAATGCTGAATTTAGGTTGTCGTGTTTTGTATTGGATGAAAATTCAGCTTTGAACAGGTAGGTAGATAGAAAAGACAGGAATATTTTGATACGGATAAGTGTGAATAATTTTCTTTGATACTATACCAAAGTTGTAGTTTCTTAAAGCTTGGCTGTGGTCAGGCACAGTGGCTCACACCTGTAATCCCAGCACTTTGGGAGGCTGAGGCAGGCAGATCATGTGAGCCCAGGAGTTCAAGACCAGCCTGGGCAACATGATGAGACTCTGTACAAAAAAATACAAAAATTAGGCTGGGCGTGGTGGGTCATGCCTGTAATCCTAGCACTTTGGGAGGCCAAGGTGGGCGGATTGCCTGAGCTCAGGAGTTTGAGACCAGCCTGGGCAACACAGTGAAACCCCGTTTCTACTAAAATATAAAAAATTAGCCAGATGTGGCAGCGTGTGCTTGTAAATCCCAGCTACTCGGGAGGCTGAGGCAGGAGAATTGCTTGAACCGCTGAGATCGTGTAACTGCACTCCAGCCTGGGCGACAGAGTGAGACTACGTCTCAAAAAAAAAACCCACAAAAATTAACCAGACGTTGGGGCACGCACCTATAGTCCCAGTTATTTGGAGGCTGAGACAGGAGGTTCACTTGAGCCCAGGCAGGAGGTCAAGGCTGCAGTGAATCATGATCACACCACCGCACTCCTGGATGACAGCAAGAAAAAAAAAGTGTCTCAAAAAAAACTGTTTTTTTGAGTTGCAAAGTGGCCCCTCAAACCTTGTCAGTAAATTTTTTATACTGGCTTATATTAAAACCCACTGGTCCATCTTGGGCTTTGAATGTGACTCTTACCTATGCATGATTTTGTAACATCATGCATGGCTCATTTGGTAAATATTGCTTCACTGAGCAATATTATGCCTGTTGGTTCTATATTTTGACATATGTGATTATATGATATCAAAACATTGCTGTTAATACCACCAATTTCATCAGAAAAATCTTCACATATTAGGAAGCCATCAGGCTTCTGATGGTGGATGTTTAAGTTTTCTAAAATTCTAACTTTCTCATAGAAGTTTGAATTTTATCATTAGTAACAAACTGTCAGTATTACTTGAAGTGACAGGCTCACTTTATTTGTTTTGGGCCAGGTATCTGTGAGATACCAAGTCTGAATGACCATAGTTTGTCTGTTGGTTGGTCTTTCAAGTACAAAAGAATGCCTACTCAGTAAAATTAACTTTCACTGCCTTAAGGACATTCTTAAGTGAAAAAGCAATTTTTTTTTTACTGTGAGTGGGTGGCAGTGAAGAATCCACTTCTGCTAGTAATTTGCCACTGCCTTGATTTGAGCTAAAGCACCAGCATGTCCCCTCTTTCTCCATTGCTTTTGTACTATCAGTGCAAATGTCCACACAGTAAAAAAGGCAAATAATGTCTTATAATGTTATGAAAATAGTTTGAGTTCATAAAATGCCAGAGGTCCACATAACATACTTTGAGAATATCAACACTCCACATCTCAGTAAGGAATTCCTGAGTTCTTAGGTTCAAGCAGATAGTTGTAAGAGACCCAGTTTCTGACCCTCTTATGTCCTCTGCCCCAGGATCGCCTGAAGGACCTGAACAGCCAGGCAGACAGCCTGATGACCAGCAGTGCCTTCGACACCTCCCAAGTAAAAGACAAGAGGGACACCATCAACGGGCGCTTCCAGAAGATCAAGAGCATGGCGGCCTCCCGGCGAGCCAAGCTGAATGAATCCCATCGCCTGCACCAGTTCTTCCGGGACATGGATGACGAGGAGTCCTGGATCAAGTACGTGTTCTCAGTGGCCTGTAATAGTGGGCAGCAGAAACCACAGGCTGACTATTGAGGCAGAAGGTTTCTATCTCCTGGCTGTAGTGGTGAGGCTGGAAACCCTGCTGGACTAGATCCCAGCTTGGCCACACACTCCTGGGATGCCTCTGTTTTCTGCTTTTCGAGTTTACAGTGATGATGATTGGCGGTGGTGGTGATCCACGCTGGTTACATAGGCCCTGTCTAGACCCTGCCCTTTAGATTCCCGTGAAAGTTAGTGAGTTTGTGTCTGACCTCCTGGAGAAGATCACTTCTCCAAGGAAGGAGCTGCTTTTTTTCTTATTCTCTATCTACCCCCCAAAATGTCAGTCTACTGATTCCAGTTGACGTAGCATGTAAACAAACATCTTTTGTTTTTTGAGACGGAGTCTCGCTCTGTCGCCAGGCTAGAGTGCCACCATGCCTGACTAATTTTTGTATTTTTAGTAGAGACAGGGTTTCACCTTGTTGGCCAGGCTGGTCTCAAATTGACCTCCCCTGACCTTAAGTGATCCACCCACCTCGGCCTCCCAAAGTGCTGTGATCATAGGCATGAGCCACTGCTCCTGGTCAGAAGGCTTTAAGGAAGTAAGGAATTAAGAGAGAGGATTTTGTTCTTAAAAGGCATTTCTGGCCAGGCACAGTGGCTCACGCTTGTGATCACAGCGCTTTGGGAGGCCGAGGCGGGCAGATCACTTGAGGTCAGAAGTTCAAGACAAGCCTGGCCAACATGGTGAAACCCCATCTCTACTAAATATACAAAAATTAGCCAGGTGTGGTGGCGGGCGCCTGTGGTCCCAGCTACTTGGGAGGCTGAGGCAGGAGAATCACTTGATCCGGGGAAGCGGAGGTTGCAGTGAGCTGAGATTGCACCACTGTACTCCAGAGCAAGACTCCGTCTCAAAAAAATAAAAAATAAAAATACAAAAATTAGCCAGGCATGGTGGTGCAGGCCTGTAATCCCAGCTACTCAGGAGGCTGAGGCAGGAGAATGACTTGAACCCGGAAAGTGGAGGTTTCAGTGAGCCGAGATCATGCCACTGCCCTCCATCCTGGGAGACAGAGCAAGACTTTGTCTCAAAAAATATGTATGTTATATAGCTGGGCGTGGTGGCTAACACCTATAATCCCAACACTTTGGGAGGCCAAGGTGGGAAGATCGCTTGAGTCCAAGAGTTTGAGACCAGCGTGGGCAACATGGTGAAAACTCGTATCTACCAAAAATAGAAAAAATTAGCCAGGCATAGTGGCTCACACCTGTGGTCCCAGCTACTCAGGAGGCTGAGGTGGGAGGATCACTCGAACCAGGTAGGTGGAGGTTGCAGTGAGCAGAGATCATGCCATTGCAGTGTACCCTGAGCAACAGAATGAGACTCTGTTTCAAAAAATATATATGGGTTTATGTATGTATATATATAAATAAATATCTTCATATATTTACAGACATATATTGATACATATTTAGTATACATGATTGATATATATTGATATAATTTGATAGGGCTCCTCAGGGCAGCACCAGTGGTGCCTCCCATCCTCCAGTGCATCCCCAACCCTCTAGAATCTGGACACACAGCAGGGCTCATAGATGCATAGATGGACAGAGGTTCTCGGTCACTACTCACTGGGGAAGTAGAGGCTTTTGTTTTCCAGAAAACTGGCAAGGATTTTCCCAGAAAGATTAGTAGATGTCTGTGAGGTCCACAGTTGACCTGATGTCCCCACTTGAAAGCAGGGAGGTGCAGAGACCGACTGTGCCGTTCCCCGTCTCTCATTCAGGGAGAAGAAGCTGCTGGTGGGCTCTGAGGACTACGGCCGGGACCTCACCGGCGTGCAGAACCTGAGGAAGAAGCACAAGCGGCTGGAGGCAGAACTGGCCGCGCATGAGCCAGCTATTCAGGTAGGGGCCGCCTTCTGCCAAGAGGGCAGAGGTGTTTGAGTGGGCCCTAGGGGACAGACAAACCCCTTGCGCTTATTTCACTGAGGTCCCTAAAGTGTTCATGACCCCTCAGTCCAAACCTGGAGAAGTCCCAAATTTGATGTTGAGGACTTTTCCTGGGAGCCTCAAGACAGAGGCACCAGCAGAGCTACCTGCTGTTAACCTTATCGTCCTTACCTGTCAGGGTGTCCTGGACACTGGCAAGAAGCTGTCCGATGATAACACCATCGGGAAAGAGGAGATCCAGCAGCGGCTGGCGCAGTTTGTGGAGCACTGGAAAGAGTTGAAGCAGCTGGCATCTGCCCGGTGAGTAGTCAGAGGCAGGAGCTCCCGGGAACAAGTGGAAGGCCAGCACCCAAGGGCAGACTCTGAGCTGTGGGGTCCACTGGGCCCTCCTACCATCTCCTGGACCTTTGGCCTCACATGTGCCATAGTTGGTTTGCTCCAGAGCCACCTCCCACAGGCCATGCTAAGGTGGTCTCATTCTGTTAATCTGGAGTCCAGAATCACACATGATTCTCCAGAGATGAAGACATGAGAGTCTGGAATCACGGAGTGGGTGATTCATGGTGTTCCGTGGACGGACTGACTGTGAGGGCTCACTTTTTTTGTGAATTTTTTTTTTTTTTTTTTGGTTGAGACGGAGTCTCTCTCCGTCGCCCAGGCTGGAGTGCAGTGGTGCAATCTCGGCTCACTGCAGGCTCCGCCTCCCGGGTTCACATCATTGTCCTGCCTCAGCCTCCCGAGTAGCTGGGACTACAGGTGCCCTCCACCACACCCGGCTAATTTTTTTGTATTTTTAGTAGAGACGGGGTTTCCCCGTGTTAGTCCTGACCTCATGATCCGCCCGCCTCGGCCTCCCAAAGTACTGGGATTACAGGCCTGAGGCACTGCGCCTGGCTTTTATGAATGTTTTTAAGCATATGTTAACTATCACAATCAAAGCTGGAGGAGATTATGACTGATTTTCTTCCTGTCTGCTGTAATTAGGGGTCAGCGGCTTGAAGAGTCCTTGGAATATCAGCAGTTTGTAGCCAATGTGGAAGAGGAGGAAGCCTGGATCAATGAGAAAATGACCCTGGTGGCCAGTGAAGATTATGGAGACACTCTTGCCGCCATCCAGGTGAGACAGAAACCAAAGGTGTCACCTGCTCTCTCTCTTGGCAACTGCCTGCTGGTCATCATTTCCCTGTTGGTTTGTTAAAGGGCCCTGCTCTTAATAGGAGAGCACACAGGGCCAGCAGCCAAGGCCTCAGTAGTTGGTTTTAACCCTCAGGATCTCACACTAGGGGACATTGCCCTTCAGTAGACACAATTGGTGTGGCTTTATCAGTCTCGGTTCCCGGGCCCTGTCATTCGCCAGGCAGTGGTGGGCTTGGGTCTTTGTATTAGTTTCCTGGGGCCTCCATAAATAAGTACCACAGGCAGAGTACCACAGACGGAGTTCCATAGACGGAGTACCACCGATGGAGTACCACAGACGGAGTGGCACAGATGGAGTGGCACAGAGTGGCTGAGGACAACAGAGGTTTATTGCTTCTCAGTTCTGGAGGCCAGAAGTCTGAAATCAAGATGCAGGACCATGTTCTCCAAACCTGTAGGGGAGGATCCTTCCTTGCCTCTTCCAGTTTTTGTTGGCACCAGGTGCCCTTGGCATGTGGCGTCATCACTGTAGTCTCTGCCTGTCTTCACATGGCCATCTTCCCTCTGTGTGTGTCTTCACTTGGCATCACTCTGTGTGTCTATTCACATTTCTGTGTGCTGTTGTAAGGATATCAGGTGTATTGGATGAGGGTCCACCCTAACGACTTCATCTTACCTTTGCAGAGTATGTTTGCAAAGATCCCCTTTCCACATTCATGGGTACCAGAAGTTAGGACTTCATCATCTCTTGAGGGGGACAGAGTTCAGCCCGTCACATACTCCCTAAATTAGTTAACTGTTGCTACATAACAACCTGCCTAAATGTAGTGGTTGAAAGCAGCACCCATTTCTTATTTTTAAGAATAAGATCCACAGATCCATGGGAAATGGATTCATTTCCCATGGGTCTGTGGATCAGTAGCATCTGCAGCTGTCACTGGAGGTCCCTCATGCTCCTGCATTCAGGCAGAGCGTGGCTGGGCTGAGAGATCAGTCACACACTGGCAGCTGAGCCTGAGTGTCACCCAGCCTGGACATCTCTGTTCCCCTTCACGTGGCCTGTTGTCCTCCAGCTGGCTAGACCAGCCTCTTTCAGCAGCACTCAGACAGGCAAAGGCAGGAGCTGCAAGGTGTCTGCAGCCTCACACATCATCCTCACTGCCTTCTGGCCAAGCAAGTCCCAAGACAGCCCAGAGGCATAGATGGACAGATTCGCCTCTGGAAAGGAGATGCTGCAAAACATCATGGTCAGATATATCTAAATTCCTGTCCCCAGATGTGGAAGCAGGAGTATGCACTCCCGGGAATCGAGTTAGCTCTGAGCCACCTTCCTCACCGTAGGAAGCATCCTCCGCTGGTCAGGGTGATTCAGGTAGAATTTAGATGCTCAGTCATTTCCCATCCTCTGCATAGTTGAGTTCCCTGGAAGCAACGAAAAAGGCATTGTCTGCAGTGCTTAAACTGTACTGAAGAAAAGACATGGGGCCGGGCATGGTGGCTCATGCCTGTAATCCCAGCACTTTGGGAGGCTGAGGCGGGCAGATCACCTGAGGTCAGGAGTTGGAGACCAACCTGGCCAACATGGTGAAACCCCATCTGTACTAAAAAATACGAAAATTAGCTGGGTGTGGTAGTGCATGCCTATAATCCCAGCTACTTGGGTGCCTGAGGCAGGAGAATCACTTGAACCTGGGAGGCAGAGGTTGCAGTGAGCCGAGATCACACCGCTGCACTCCAGCCTGGGCAACAGAGCAAGACTCTGTCTCGAAAAGAAAAAGACATGACTTGGAAGGCCTTTTCTGAGATGTGTTCAAGTTAAACCTTAAAAATGTGTCATTTTTCTTTGGGTGTGTATCTTCAGCTTGGTTTGTGTCATTCTTGTGGTCCTCTTGGGGGAGAGACCATAAGACACTGTTGATGGATAACAAAGGGTTAGACCCTTCCCAAAGGTCCAAAGACTGTCCCTGCCAAGGCCTGTCCCAACACCGCTGGTTACTCTCACTGCCTCGTGTTTTCCTTCCTTTTATGATTCTCTTTTTATTAATGTTCCTCTTTATTGTCCTCTTCCCCAGCTAGCCTGTAATGTGTGCATGGACAGGGACCATAGTGGTTTTGTCACTCTCTGTCCCTGGGGCCTAGCCCACAACACATAGCAGGCTCTCAATAGTGGGCCTTGGCTGCTTCTACTCCAGGGCTTACTGAAGAAACATGAAGCTTTTGAGACAGACTTCACCGTCCACAAAGATCGCGTGAATGACGTCTGCACCAATGGACAAGACCTCATTAAGAAGGTGAGTCCGGCCCATCGGTAAGACCTCCATCACCCACTGGGATACCCACATGTTGGTACCACAGAGGTCCCCCAAAGTTCACTTCCTGGGATGTTCAAACCAAGGTCTGCGTGGAAACCAGTAGCAATTCCATTCCTGTGTTTCGTGACAAGTTGGATGTTTTAGAAGCCAGTAAAGTTATTCTGCAGTGCTTATTTTTTCTGCGTTAAGCAACAGAGACACTGGCACTCCCAAAGGCTGCTCTTAGTTTATTTCTCAAGCAGTACAATCTCTTTATAGGGACAGTAGAAAATGCAAATAAGCAAAGCATAAAATAAAAATTACCCATAAAACCCCACCCAGAGACTGCACATTAGATCTTTGTGTCTTACCTGCCAGACCTTTTCTCTCCACAGGTATAGAGCTACCAACTAGATCAAACAGCCCCAGAGATTCCCATTTAATAGGATCATATCACTCCATAAATTATCAAAAACCTGGAGCCTGTACAGGGCATTTTAGAAATGAATCTACTTCATTCGCGGCCCTTTTGGGAGAAAACAAAATAAAGGGACTTGGTGCTTTCCCAGCAACAATGAAGCCACATCCTTCCCATATGGAAGCTCTAGACTGAAGGCTGTGCATCCATGGGTCTGGAATTTACCAGCAGTCACTCAGGTGCAGTGGCGCACCTGGAGCACCTTAGGACAGAGGTGTTTTGTTTTTTTTTTTGAGACGGAGTCTTGCTGAGTAGCCCAGGCTGGAGTGCAGGGGCACGATCTCGGCTCACTGCAAGCTCCGCCTCCCAGGTTCACGCCATTCTCCTGCCTCAGCCTCCCTAGTAGCTGGGACTACAGGCGCCCGCCACCTCGCCCCACTAATTTTTTGTGTGTTTTTAGTAGAGATGGGGTTTCACCATGTTAGCCAGGATGGTCTCGATCTCCTGACCTTATGATCCACCCGCCTTGGCCTCCCAAAGTGCTGGGATTACAGGCATGAGCCACCACATCGGGCCAAGGACAGAGGTTTTAACAGCTTTGGTCTCCTGTCACACACACATCATGAGAAGGATTTCTCATCACAGAGGTTGCACTCAGCAGTCATGGCCTTGACACTAGGGTTTGATCCATAGGCAGCAACAATGTAGCTAAAATCCATTTCACTGGAGAGCTTTTTTTCCTTGCTCTGATCTGCAAATAAACTAGCACGAAACTAATTTCAGATACATGTGTAGATATAGACGTGGCTCCTGCGCACTTAACCCCCCAACACACACCCAGACAACATTCCCAGTTCTTCAAGCCAGGAGATCACCGGTGTGAGTGTCCTTCGGCCTTCTAGCAATGAGCCGGCTGCTTTTTTTTTTTTTTTTTTTTTTTTTTGAGACAGAGTTTCACTCTTGTTGCCCAGGCTAGAGTGCAGTGGCGCGATCTTGGCTCACCACAACCTCCGCCTCCCAGGTTCAAGCGATTCTCCTGCCTCCGCCTCCCTAGTAGCTGGGATTACAGGCATGTGCCACCACGCCCAGCTAATTTTGTATTTTTAGTAAAGACGGGGTTTCTCCATGTTGGTCAGGCTGGTCTCAAACTCCCGACCTCAGGTGATCTGTCCGCCTTGGCCTCCCAAAGTGCTGGGATTACAGGCGTGAGCCACCGTGCCCGGCCAGCGAGCCAGCTGCTTTGTCCTCAGCAACAGCCTGTTTCCTCCTTGAATTTCTCTTTCAATTCTTTTTTCTTTTTCTTTTTCCCCTTTTCACAGGTGTTAAAGAATTTCTCTTTAAATTTAATGTGACTTGCAGTATGTTGTTTTTTTTTTTTAATTTTATGTATTTTTAAAAAATTTTTATTTATTTATTTATTTATTTATTTTAGACAGAGTCTCGCTCTGTCGCCCAGGCTGGAGTGCACTGGCGCGATCTTGCCTCACTGCCACCGCCACCTCCTGGGTTCAAGTGACTCTCCTGCCTCAGCCTCCTGAGTAGCTGGGGTTACAGGCGTGTGCCACCACTCCCGGCTAATTTTTGTATTTTTATTAGGGACAGAGTTTCACCATGTTGGTTAGGCAGGTCTCGGACTCCTGACCTCATAATCCGCCTGCCTTGGCCTCTCAAAGTGCTGGGATTACAGGTGTGAGCTACCGCACCCAACCAATTTTTTTATTTTTATTTTTTGAGATGGAGTCTCACTCTTGTCACCCAGGCTGGAGTGTAATGACGTGATCGTGGCTCATTGCAGCCTCTGCCTCCCAGGTTTCAGCAGTTCTCCCACCTGAGCCTCCTTAGTTAGCTGGGACCACAGGTGGGTGCCACCATACCTGGCTTCTTTTCTTTTCTTTCTTTTTTTTTTTTAGACTGGGTCTCACTGTGTTGCCCAGGCTGGTCTCCAACTCCTGGGCTCAAGCGATTCTCTCGCCTCGTGCTGAGATTACAGGAGTGAGCCACTGCACCTAGCCCTATATGTGTAGTATTTTAAGTGATAATATTCAACTTTTTTCTATCAAAAATAATACTAGTGAATATATCATTGTAACTTCAAATTTCAGCCCATTCCTTTTTTTTTGTTTGAAACAGTCTTGCTCTGTTGCCCAGGCTGGGTGCAGTGGCACAGTCTCGGCTCACTGCAGTCTCCGCCTCCCAGGTTCAAGCAGTTCTTATCCCTCAGCCTCCTGGGTCGCTGGAATTACAGATGCGCGCCACCATATCTGCCTTTTTTTTTTTTTTTTTTTTGTATTTTTTAGAAGAGACAGGGTTTCACCATATTGGCCAGGCTGGTCTTGAACTCCTGGCCTCAAGTGATCTGCATACCTCAGCCTCCCAGAGTGCTAGGATTACAGGTGTTAGCCACTGTGCCTGGCCCATATTTCTTTAGAATTAATTCCTAGGACTGGCCGGGCACTGTGGCTCACACCTGTAATCCCAGCACTTTGGGAGGTCGAGGTGGGCAGATCACCTGAGGTCAGGAGTTCAAGACCAGCCTGGCCAACATGGTGAAATCCCATCTCTACTAAAAATAAAAAATTAGCTGGGCATGGTGGTGTTCTCCCGTAGTCCCAGCTACTCGGGAGGCTGAGGCAGGAGAATCTCTTGAACCCGGGAGGCAGAGGTTGCAGTGAGCTGAGATCACGTCACTGCACTCCAGCCTGGGCGACAGAGTGAAACTCTGTGTCAAAAAACAAAAAAAGAATTCCTAAAAGTAGAATTGCCAGTACAGTGTATTCATCTGAAGCCTTTGACTGTGTTGCTCTTACAAAAGCCTCACCTATCATTGTTTACCCAGCAGTGGACAGGGGAGCAAGTGGCCCATTTTATAGAAGTTTGGAGCCTTTCCAGGGAGGGCATAGTCAGGTAACCACAGCAGGTGAGGCTGACCAGTGTGTGCCTCTCTCCATGGCCTAGAACAATCACCATGAGGAGAACATATCTTCAAAGATGAAGGGCCTGAATGGGAAAGTGTCAGATCTGGAGAAAGCTGCAGCCCAGAGGAAGGCGAAGCTGGATGAGAACTCGGCCTTCCTTCAGTTCAACTGGAAGGCGGACGTGGTGGAGTCCTGGATCGGTGAGCACTGTCGGAAAGGCCCAGAAGAGCCTTCCCAGAGCTGCTCTTTGTCTCCTTCCATGTCACTGGTTTTCTTCTTCAGAGAAGAAACTGATCAGTTGTGGGCATGGCAGAGAACCTACTACCAGGGTAGACCACTGACTGCCAGCTAGGAGGAGACAGTGTCCTGAGGCCAGAGCTGCCGGAACTGGGCTGGCACCAGGGTTAATAAAAGCCTGTAAATGCTGCTGCAAGCAGAGATGGCATAATGTGACGTCATGACATGAACAGAGTGGGCACAGCAAAGGCACCACTAGCTGCCCTGGTCGGGCACCACCCAGCTCCTGGGTGAGGGGAAACTGGGTCCTGATATCGGGGTCCGCATGTCCTGGGTAGTCCTGGGTTGTAATAATAGCAAGTGAACTAGAGGACAGGCTACAAGGAGCTCCTCATGGCACAGATGGCGGCCAGGCCTGGGTGCAGGGAGGGGCCCGCTAATGTGGGTTCTGAGGCTGCAGTTAGGAATATTGGAATTTATGTGTACACAAAAAATGGTTTGTCTGGGTTTTGGCTTTTTTCTTTTGTAATCCATCTCACTCCACTGAGGAGGGCGGTATATTTTCCACGCTTGGTTTTCTAGGTGAAAAGGAGAACAGCTTGAAGACAGATGACTATGGCCGAGACCTGTCTTCTGTGCAGACGCTCCTCACCAAACAGGTCTGCCCTGCCCCTTCATTGGTTGAAATGTATGCAGATAGCATCTCCTGCGAGATGACTGGGGATGTCTTTCACTGACGCATTTAACTATCTTCTATTAGCCCCTGGGGATCGGCAGGATAAAGATCCTGTCCTGGTCCTCAGAGAGCTTCCAGACTAACTGGGGAAGCAAACACAGAACCAGGCATCTCTGCAGCAGCCTGCTGGGTGCTGACGGGATGGGCACTGCAGGGGCACTCCCTCAGTTCTCAGCAGGCGAGGGTTGAAGGGGCAAGCCCTCCTAAGCGAAATCATGAGGGGTGAATGAAAACGGTCAGGGAGAGAGGCAGGGCGAGTGTTCTAGGCAGAGCTGGCAGGGATCCCTGGGTCAGAAGAGCTGAAGGCTGGGGTCAGGGAGGTGGGAGGAGGCTGCCGCAGTGATCTGCGGGCTGAAGGAGAGCAGGAAAGGGGGTGTGTGTGACCCAGTATCAGCAGTGTCCAGGCAGACAGTTTGGCTTGGGCATTTGGGGGACATGCTGGCGCCATCTGAGTCGAGGCACCTAGGAAGAGCTAGTTCCAGTCTTGTGGCGTCACCACAAATTGGCTTGTCACTCCTTGTTCAGGAAACTTTTGATGCTGGCCTCCAGGCCTTCCAGCAGGAAGGCATTGCCAACATCACTGCCCTCAAAGATCAACTTCTTGCTGCCAAGCATGTTCAGTCCAAGGCCATCGAGGCCCGGCACGCCTCCCTCATGAAAAGGTGGAGCCAGCTTCTGGCCAACTCAGCCACCCGCAAGAAGAAGCTTCTGGAGGCTCAGAGTCACTTCCGCAAGGTGAGGATGGGGCCACGTGAAGCTTAGCTGGCCCACAGCTCAGGGAAGGAAGCCTACCTTCTGTCTGCCCAACTCTGCCCCTCCTCCGTGAGGAAGCTGTGAGCTCAGTGCAGAGCTTTCGAACATGGGTGTGGCGTCAGTTAAAACCAAGGCAAATGAGAGGGCCATGTGAGATCGACATTCAGAAGCACGCAGGACAGACTGAAGACAAGGGTAAAGGGTAGGAAGGGGAAAAAAGGCTGGTGAAGACTTGAAGAAGGGGGAGCAGGAGACAGGAGCAGAGGGGAGCTAAGCTCCCAGCAGGCTGTGTGCGCTTCTGATTCCCAGGAACCGCCCCGCACCCCACCTCCTGCACTGGGTCGGCATGTCCAGCCCTGACGACTCCGCTAACTCAGTCACTTCTGCTTCCAGGTGGAGGACCTCTTCCTGACCTTTGCCAAAAAGGCTTCTGCCTTCAACAGCTGGTTTGAAAATGCAGAGGAGGACTTAACAGACCCTGTGCGCTGCAACTCCTTGGAAGAAATCAAAGCTTTGCGTGAGGCCCACGACGCCTTCCGCTCCTCCCTCAGCTCTGCCCAGGCCGACTTCAATCAGCTGGCCGAGCTGGACCGCCAGATCAAGAGCTTCCGTGTAGCCTCCAACCCCTACACCTGGTTCACCATGGAGGCCCTGGAGGAGACCTGGAGGAACCTACAGAAGATCATCAAGGTACACCTCCCGCTGCCCTCAGGAGCTGCTCGGCCTCCCAGAGCCCTTGCTGGGCCCTGCTCAGAGCCCACACTGAGTAACGATAGGACAGGGCAGGAGGAAGGAGCATGGTTTCATCAGAAGTTTCCATTTCTTTTTGTTTTCTTGAGACAGGGTCTCTGTCACCTAGACTGCAGTGCAGTGGTGCCAACATGGCTCCCTGTAGCCTCAGCCTCCCAGGCTCAGGTGGTCCTCTTTCCTGAGCCTCTTAAATAACTGGGACTACAAGCACATGCCACCACGCCTTGCTAATTATTTTAATTTTTGTAGACAGGGTGTTGCCATGTTGCCCAGGCTGGTCTTGAACTTCTGGCCTCAAGCAGTCCTCCTGCCCAGGCCTCCCAAAGTGCTGGGATTACAGGTGTGAGCCACTGTACCCAGCCAGAAGTTTGCAGTTTCCTTTTTTTTTTTTT